ACCATTTAAGTAAACTGTTCCATGTTTAAGGCGAATGTTATAATTACCTACCCATTTTGTTTTTCATATTGTCCTTCCAAGGTAATGGAAAATCATAACATTGGTTTTATATCAATGTTTCTTTTAAAATTACGCAATAACTTCAGTGTCATTTCATTTGTTGAATAGTCATGTATTCTAATTGCATCTAAATCCATAGCCTTTAGAGCTGCACTAATTAAATCATGTGCCATGGAAGTATTCCTCAAACAACATTCATTACCGTATTTGGAACGAATGTAGAAACATTAACTTAATGCTTCAGTGCGTTATAGTGAACCAAATAAGGTTTCAGAGGCAAACAAGACCCTTGATAATCTTTTAACCCTTCCCAGTACTATTTCCAGTAATATCATACCAATTAATACTGAATTGAGAGTTGGATGTTGCATCAGCAGTATTATCGAATTTCCTTACAATAATTAAGTATTTCCTTCCTGGATACCAATAAGCTGATTAATTTGGAGTTTCAGGCTTAATTATTTTTTCCCAGGTCCACATATATCTTTAAGAATAACCTTAACTTTTTAACTGTGGGCTAGTTAGAGCGAAGGTGTAAATCTGAAATTCTTCTTCCCCCACAACACTTAATTTAATTGTTGATACTTCGTCAGGATGAAAGATTTAGAGAGGCAGAATCGAAAATGAGTTCTTACATTTTTTGTCTATTCTGACCAAAGCTCTTGCATTTGTAAATAAACCCTATTTGTATTCTTTCCGAAATTGACGCCAACCCTTTTCGTTTTAAGCTCACCTATTTTCCCGTTATTTCAAATTTATTATCAGTAAAATAGTATTATGCCTTAATGAAACATAAATCACAGCGTATTTCGAGCTGCAAACGGGAATGATGAGATTACGAAAGCATAAATAGCATCTGTTGCATTTTAATTTTTTCTTTTTTCTCAAGGGAATTGCGCAATTTGAAGTAGAATGTTCAAAGATTCATTTTCTATCTTCCCACAAAAAATATACAATAGGGTGGATGTAATCTTATTCAAAACGACGCAACTGCTGGAACAAAAATGTTTTTTTTGTTTGAAGGCAGTATGATATTTCTCACTTTTAATAAGGTCTCGCGATGATTGATGATGGTTGTTCGGTTCTAATGTTAAAAACGGAATAGTTTGGCGATGTTTGGAAAAACGTACGCTCTCTGCTTTCAACTTCCTTCTTCAGAAATTCCATAATGTTAGTCACTGTGGTTTCTGTGTCAGGGGTTTAAGATCGATTAAACTCTAAAACTAATTCGCTAGGAAGTATCCTCATTAACAGTGGGCATAACAAATAGCTGTAAGAATTTGAAGTAACGTTAAGGGAATCAAGGCTTCTAATTTCAATTTCTAAGCTATCATATAAGTTACGTAATGTTTTAATATCATCCATTTTTTTAACTGGCTTTAAATTCAGCAGACGATTCATATGTGCGTTTATTAAAATGTCCTTTCTACCAAACCTTCTTTCAGAATATTTATTGCCTTAGCATAATTTTCGGCAACTAACGGTAATCCCTTTATTGACATTAAAGCTGTGTGTCCGTTAGTAAAGATGTGAGGTAATTAAATTGTCTACATCCTTTAAAGCAGAGTTATTATGTATAGCAGATTCGTATTGAGCCCAAAAACTTTGAAATTCACATATTTCGCCTTTAAATTTATTTATGGTTAGTTTCGGAAGTTTTAGCGACATTTGTATTTGTGTTCTCTACCGTATCTATAGTAGCAGAATTAGATGGCAACTCATTTAATTTAACACATTTTCTATTTCTAAATATTCTACTGATCTTCGATTTACACAAGGTAATTTTATTTTTATATTCCAAGCTATCCTGTATTTCAGTTTCGTACTCCTTTTCATCTGTTAGGATAGATTCGATTTCAGTGTTCAATATAGTATATCGTTTTCATTTTCATTTAAGATGGATAAATCATCTTCTAATAAATCAAATTTAATATTATCCGATTCTATTTCCTTTTCCATTTTAGCTATCAGTCTTGTTACTGATGCTCTTAACATTCCTCGCTTCTTTTTTAGTGCTTTTAACTTATCCATCTTAATAATCAATATTCAATCACTAATCGAACAATAATAAATACTTAAATCACAATATATCTAAAGATCACTGTTATCTCAGAATTTCGGCACCATGTTTCAACTTATGATCTTTTTTCTTATTTTTTACATTTAACAACATCGATAAGTGAAATTTTGCTTACCTTTCTTAATGAATATCCACAGGAACGCTTGGAATTCCTTTTCATTTTTATCACACAGAAGCTTTATTTACAGCTATGTACAACAATTGTCTGCTACATTAGAACATTCATCATGTTTTTTGGTGCCACTACATCTATCTCAAAAATCCGCAATGCGGTAAGAAAAATATAACAAGCTAAAAGTAAAAAACGCTGCGCCCTCTCGTGGCCAGCTACATAAACTGTAACAGGCCATGAATGCTGCGTTAGCTTTATTGGTCGCGTAAGTCACATGATCATGAAAAGAGAGAGTTCTATCAATATGCACTCCAAGATATTTGTAAGAATTTACAACAGGAATTGGGATATTGTCAATTTTTACGTCAATATTAAGCGGGAACAATTTTTTATACCGTCTGTAAATCACTATGTTACATTTAGAAGGGTTCACTTTAATCTTCCATAGCTTGCACCATGCATCTATTTCATTAATTTGGTACTTCAGCTTGTCTACAGCATTTTGAGGGTTCAGGGAGTTAGTTAAAACCACGGTGTCATCAGCATACTTTAAAACAGTTGAAGAGAAAGGCTGAGGCATGTCATTGACAAAAATGCAAAATAATTTTGGCGAAAGTACGCTTCCCTGTGGGACGCCTTTGTACATTACTTTCTTGCTGGAGAGAGAATCACCGCATCTAACTTGAAAAGTTCTTCTTTTGAGAAATGAAATAATCAGTTTTAGAAAGCTATTAGGAAGTATGCAGTTTGAAAGCTTGTACACAAGTCCTGCATGCCACACTCGATCGAAAGCTTTTTCGAAATCGAGGTAGCATGCAGCGACTGCGGTCTTTTTCTGGAAATTTAGAGCAATATATTCTATTAAGTTTAGGATTTGGTGTGTGGTACAATGGCCTCTCCTAAATCCAAATTGGTTTTCGTCAATAATTTTCAATCTTTCAAGGTGAGTAGTCAAACGGTCATTTAAAATTCTCTCGAAAACTTTTCCTATTGCCGGGAGTAAACTAATCGGTCTGTAGCTTGTGACTTCATGGGGTTTTTTTTCCTGGTTTTAGTATCGTAATTATAATTGAATGCTTCCATTGCTGAGGGAAATGTGTGAGTCGAATGCATGCGTTAAATATGTTACAAAGTAACACAATACAGTTTCTTGGAAGTGCTTGCAGAGCCTCATTGTTTATGTTGTCGTACCCTCTTGCCTTCTGTTTTTTGAGTTTTTTAATAATGCTTTGAACTTCGTTTGGAGAAGTGAATTTAATGAAGTTAGAATTATGCCGAGATTTTATATTAACTATTTCTTGCTTAACTTCTTCCTCGTGTTCGGAATTTTCTTCTTCGTGTTTATTGAAAACTTTACTTAAGTTGCTTGCTAGAATTTCTGCTATGTCGGATTCTGAGTAGAATGTGTGACCCATGTAGTCGATCGGATGCAGATGTTGCGCTCGGGTATTTCGGAGGGATCTTGCGATTTTCCAAACTACATTTGGTTCTAAATCCATGTTTTCAAGGAGGGTATCCCAACTTCTGGATCTATGGTTAATAATTTCTTGTTTAATCTTTCTTGAAAGATAATTAAAGTGTGTTTTATCTCTTGGGTTTCTTGTCATTTGCCAAATTTTTCTTCTGTTATTTCGCTGCTTTATTAGATTTAAAATGTGCTCCGGAAGGTTTTTGCTATCATTTCTCTTACTGGTGAAGGTAGCGTTTTTAATGGCGTCTTGAATCTTGGTATTAAGATTATGAACTGCGTTTTCTAATTCAGCGCAATTATTTATTGAGATTCTGCAAGGAATGCTAGTCATGTGATTTTTGAAAATTTCCCAATTAACTTTTTGTTGGGTTTTTTGCAGTGGTGGATAGAATCCATAAAAGTAAAAAAGAACGGGTCTATGATCAGAAGCTAAATCATCTTTGACTTCCAGATAAGGTGTTGCTGAAATGTTTTTCATGATAGTGATATCAAGAACTTCTCCGCTGCCGTTGTGGTGATATCTCGTAGGAATATCTGGAGCAAGTATTCTAATATTGTTCCTTTGGGCGTAATCGCTAAGAATTTGGCCATTTCTGTTAATGTTTCTGCTGTTCCAAATGTAGTGTTTCGCATTTAAGTCGCCCGCTACTAAGGTGGGAAAATTAAAGTTTGTAATTTTATCTAAGTCCTGTGCTCTGAGTGCATTATTTGGAGGGTTGTAAGCAGCAATGGATGAGGTAAGGCTCGTTGAATCCTGTGTAAATTACTGCGGCCGTTTTTTCTAAATTTCCAGTATTGGGGATTTTGAATCTGGTGTGCTTGAAATGATTTTTAATGATTAAGGCAGTGCCTCCACCTCTATTATGACTTCGGTCGTCGCGAAGAACGCTGTATCCGGGAATATTTGTTCTATTGCTTGGTTTTAAACGCGTCTCGTTGATCATCATAACATCAACATTATATTTTCTCAAGTAATGAATTATTTCTTGAAGTTGTCTGTAAACGCCGTTTGCGTTAAAATACGAGATTCTTAAAAAGCTTGTACTAGCTGAAATCAGGTTCGGGTTATGTGTTGAGGGCCTAAAATTCATAATTCAGGCTTGAAAAGTAATCAAACGCGGAAATGCCGACTTCTAACTTTTCGAATATAGACTTGGCAGTCTTGAATTTAGTAAAGAATTTCTTAACTTGCATAATTTGGATTTTCACCTATTCTAAGAAAGAATGTTCTTTTTGATTGGTTGTTTCTGCGTTATTGTTATTTTGGGAGGTAGCACGGATTTCCTGTGGACTGCGGCTGGGTAATTTGGGGAATTCTTCAGGATTAAGTTTAAATTGATCTTTGTCAGCTTTTTCCTGCCCTTCATTTGCAGTTTTTTCTTCCTCAATACGATTTTGGATATTAATTGGATATTTTTTACAACCACGGTAGGAAGAAACGTGATTTTCTCCACAAAGAACACAGATGGGAACATGGACACCTTTTTGCGTTTTGCATAAGTGCGTCTCGTGGTTTTCTGCGCATTTTAGGCACCTAGGAGTGTAGTTGCACAGGTCCCGTGTATGTCCGTACCTCTGGCACTTATGACATTGCACAGGGCCTGGCTTTGATTTGTAGTTTACTACGAGAACGTCTAACCCTCGAAGTTTCTTTATGTCGAAGATCTTTTTCCCATCGGCGTTTCTTTTCACCTCCGCTAAGAAAACGGGTAATTTAATTATTTCTCCATCTTTTTTGGCAGTTATCTGTCTTATCTTTTCAACGGGGATTCCTAAATCCAAGATTTCTTGTTTTAGAATCTCAATGTCAGATGTTTTGGGGAGTTTCTTAATGATAGCTTTTATTGGCTTTTCTGATTTCAGCTTAAAGGTGTGAAATGGAATTTCTCGCTTTTTTAGCAATGAAGTAATGGTTCTATAGTGATCTGATTCAAATACTCTGATTGTCAGTCTGCCGCCTGACAGATTACCGGTGTATTTTTTGATGTTTAAATCATTTTCAAATTCAACTTTTAATTTGTCCCAACTTCCTGCAAAATCTGCGAGGACGATGGGGGGAATGTGACCTGCGGTCTTTTTTGGTATAATGAATGGTTCGTCATTATCATCATCCATTTTGTCATCAGCATTTAACTGATCGAATTTATTTTTTTGCGATGGATATTCCGGTTCCTCATTTGATAGTGTACGCTTGTGCGTAACGCGCGGGGTAACAAATCCTTCTTTATCGGTGGATTGCTTTTTACGTTTTTTGCCGCTTGCGTTTCTAATTAAAATATTTCCCTTTTCCATTTTTTGGGATGAGTTTGGGGTTTGTGAATCTCCTTCCGTTTTTTCTTTATTATCCTTTTCCATACTGATAGTAATACTAGCAATATGCTCGCTTAAATCTTTTAGCCTAGCATCGTTTTCAGGGCAATTGTTTTGTTTAAGGGCGTCTAACTCCTGCATTAGTTTGTCTCTAATTGTGTAATCATCTACTCCTGGGTAATACTCATGTAGCCGCTTTAATCGCGTTACATCCGTCTCCATAACTTAAGCTACTAACGGGCTGCGTTGGCACGGTAATGCATGAAGAAACAAAAGATAGAATTCTTACCAAAGCGATCCAAAACCGCCAGGCCTCCTTTCGATTCACGAAGTCTCGATAGCGATCTAACTTGAGAAGCCAAAACGTCCGAAAAATAAGAATGAAGGAAAAAACTTTTATCAACTAAGTGCGCAGTTAAGAAGTACTCGAGAGAGCAGCCTCCGAACTAAGAGTATGCCGATGAGGGAGAGCAACAGTCGACGCCAGCGATAGATGTCCTCCGAAATACAACTCCTTTTATAGACCGTGTGATGCCACCTTATGATCATTATTCTTTGGGGGGTAGATGATGGAAATCCAATATAGATGAAAGTCCAAGATTGGCTTGAAGACGTGATTAAAAAAATCGGTCTGGAAGGAAAAGAGTGCATTTGGGAAAAAGATTTATCCTTTTTTCCCGATGCATCCGTTTACCTCCAGACCGATATTTTTCCACTTCTCAGCCTAAGATGTCCTTCACCATCCCGAATTTCTGAAGATGTTATACATACACAGTTTGGCCATATCTTCGATAAAGATACTTTTGTCCGATCGCTGAAAGCTTATTTTGAGGATGGTGAGTCCTTCTGTATCTTGGCCGACCTCTTCCAGTGGAGAATGCAAGCATTCGAGGACGATATCATAAGCCTTCGTTCTCAGTTTCTCCATCCGGTATAAAGCTTGAGGTAAATCAAACCATATACTCCGAGCATAGATGTCTGGGTCGTCTGGGGAGAGGCCCTTCCACTGCAGAAGTTGGGGATAACGGGTTTGGAGGAGGTCGATTATTTCCGTGAATGACCATTGATCACAGTTCCTCGTCCGGATGTCCAGAGAGAAAGCATTGCAGTAAATACGGAATTTAGAAATGTATACCTCAAATCCATTACCATCCCAGAAGGCTATATAGTAACTCATGGCTCTGCTCGAAGAGAAAAGTATCTCGAATAAGAAGGGAAAAAAATGAAACGAATGAGTCCTTTTATATCTCTCGTTCTGGAAGAGTTCCAAGCCCAAGGTGACCTTGACAAGACAACTAATTCATTATAAACAAATCACAAGAAAACATTTTCCCCACGACCCTATAGTGGGAAAATCTTTCATTTTTTCCTCAAGACCTATTCATTATAAACAAGTCTAGAGGTCATGAGATAACTTCTCCACGACCCTCACGAATTGTTTTGAAACGGTTCGATAGGATTAGCTTTTCAAGGTGACTTTTACGAGACCATGATAAACAAGTCTAGACCCATGATAATTTTCCCCATTAGAGTATTGTATTTCATTTTGCTATTTTGCGTTGAATCACTATAAATGTCCATTTCAGTTTTCAAAATAAAGAGCTGCCACAGCGTAAGTTAACTGAAGAGGAAAAGCTTTCATCCCGTGAAAAACGACTGGTAAAGGTAAATGCAACCATTAAGCGGAAACGTGAGGATGCAGAATATAGTTCTAAGGAAACTACTTCTAAGAAAGGATACAGAAAACGTAAAAAATTTGAATCAGAAAACTAAGAAAATCAACAGTTCGAAATTAAATTTAGAGCTAGAGCTGATGAAAACATGATATGTTATGAGAGATTATTGGTAAAGGTACGCAAAACTCATAGACGGAAACGGGAGAACGAAGAATATCGATCTAAAGAGGCTGCATCTATGAGAGAATACAGGAAACGTAAATCATGTCAACCTTACGAGAACGAGATGAAACGTTTCAAAAGAGATTTCGATTTGAATTCTACCGTCTTAACACCTCAGTTTCAGAACTTATCTGAAAAATTCCTTAAAGCCATATCCGAAGTACCTACTTACGTTTGCTATTGTTGTGATCGTTTGTAGTTTAAAGAATCGATAAGATCTCTAACAAAAACATTTCTTCTTTCCAAAGGAGCCGAAGAAGTTTACATAAAATCGGTTTTCTATACCGATAAAGGTGAGACGGGGGAATTTTGTGCGACCTGTTATCAAACAATTTTATTCCTCGGTATTCCTAAATTGGCTGTATGTAACGGCTTTAAGTTTCCGAAATTCCTGATTGCTTAAAAGATTTTACTCCTTTAGAAGAACGATTAGTTTTGTTGCCTCGTACGCGGCAATAAAAGTTCTGTACAGGGCATTGTTCTGCGCAATTTCAAAGTTATGTACAGCGCATTGTTTCTGCGCAATTCAGTTAGTTAAAATTCGAACTCCTAGCGTAACATACATGTTTTTGATCCCGTATGGTTGGGAATTCATCATTTTCGATTTTCATTTTTTGTTGTGATACAGTACAAAAAAATAAAATTGGTTGTTGTTGTTGTAAATTTGTCTTTAATGTACAGTAGAACCAGCGACCTCAGAACATTTGGTCACGATCGGCCGCAGTTAATTAGAATAATTTAAAAAATGGCTAATGGAGACATAACTACGTTGAACAGAAAACGTGGCGGTATTAAAGCGCAAATAACCAAATTAAAAGTCGTCTGTCAGTGAAAAAGTAGAAAAGTGATGATTTTGTTTCGAACAAATAGAAGTATTTCAGGAAAAAAAGTGCACAAGTTAAATAAACAAATTGATGAACTTCGCTTGGATTATTACAAAGTGTGCAAAGATGAAGAAATATCAGGACAGGAAGCTTTTGGAAGAAATCGAGATGGATATTACCAATGTTCAGGTAAGCCTGAAATGTCTTTATACTTCATTATGTAGTAAGAATAAATATGAATATGCAAATAATAGTATCCCAGAAACAAGAAGTAATTCATTGAATTATAAATTGCCTGAAATAACATTACCTAAATTTTCTGGCAATTTCGAAGACTGGAATTTATTTAAAAAAACCAATTTGTAGCTTTAGCTTTAATTTCATCTAATAGACAATTAACAGATTCTCAGAAATTGTTTTATTTACAATCTTGTTTAATTGGTGATGCAAAGCAGATACAAACAATAGATGATACATTTTCTTCCTTATTTAAGGCACTTGAAGAAAGATATGATAATAAGAGACTGGTTGTAAATTCTCATATCAATGAATTACTTTCTATTGAAAAAATAGTTCATGAAAATCCTAAAGATTTACGCTCATTAATTGATAAAGTTCAGAAACATTTAAGAGCATTAAAAGTTATGGAATTAAATGTGGATAAATTAAGCGAAGCTTTAGTGATTAATATTATTATTTATCTCAATAAAATAGATAAAGAATCACGTAAGCAATTTGAAATGCCATTAAATATAGTAATGATTTTTGTCAATAGGAATCCTTCATGACATCTCTTCAAAAGCGATGCCAGATGTTAGAAAATATGCAAAACAAAACTTTATTTGCAAAATCAAAACAAAACATTCCTCAAAATAAAGTTCGATCACTAATGACAAAAACAAGTAATAGTAATAAATTTATGTGTCCGGTTTGCAAAGATAATCACGCAGTTTTTAAATGAGAAGCATTTCTAGCATTAAATCCAATGGAACGATACGAAATGGTTAAAAAGCTTTCTTTGTGCATTAGTTGTTTACAGTCAAATCATAAAGTAGGCTTCCTGTCAGTCTATACACTTTTGCTCAGTTTGCAAATCAAAACATAATTCACTTCTTCATCGGAATGACGCTTCCATGTCGTCTTTAACAAGAGGGGGAAAGCAAAGTGCAGCTACGCCCTCCCCAGAGAACCGCAAAACCGAAGCTGTTTTAAATAGCAATGAATCAACAGAAAAAGCCTTATATCGGCGTGTCTTTTTCGAAAAATAAAACTCTTCTTTCAACTGCGATTAGAAATATTTATGGCCAATTCATACAGCTAGAGTTGTTCTTGATTCAGGATCAAGTCAAATTTTGCTACTAATGAATTCTGTGAGCGTGCAAATTTAACAAGGGAAAGAATAGATATTACCTAGTTTAGATGGGCAAATTTCAAAAATTAAATCTCTTACTTTTGCTTCTATTTTTAATGGAAATAATTCATTCTCTGCTTCATTAAATTTTTTAGTTGTAAATAAAATCACAGATTTAGTACCTTCTACAAAATTAAATATTAAAAATATAGATATTCCTGATATACCAAGTTAGGCGGATCCAGAATTTGTAACTCCATCTAGCAGAGATCTGCTTTTAGGAGCAGAAATATTTTATGACATTTTTATTAATGGACAATTTAAATCTATGAAATCACTCAGGAATTCTGTGTTTTCAGAAATTCTGTGTTTGGTTGTATAGCTACTGGTTCTTTGAAAACATCCCTTGACAATTGTCAGAATTATTATGGACTTCTCGGTATAATGTTGACAATTTTGATAGATTGGTAGAAAAATTTTGGTTAGTGGAAAATATTGGTGAAGAAAAGTCCAATGCTTAGCCAAGAAGAAGAATTCTGTGAACAACATTTCAAAGACACTTACAGACGAAATGAAGATGGCAGAGATTTATCGTAAAAATGCCTATGAAAAAAGAACAATTACGAAATTCAAAGCACTTAGCCAATATTAGACTCAATCAATTAGTTAAACGTCTTAGCAAAAACTATACGTTGCAACTTTATATCAAGATTTCATAACAGAATATGAAAATTTGGACCATATGGAAAAGGTCGATGATAATTTAAAACCGGAACTTGAATGTTACCTTCTCCGTCATGGAGTATATAGACCAGAGAGATCAAGTGCAAAATTAAGAGTTTTGTTTAATGCTAGTGCCCCAAGCTCAAATGGCTTAAGTTTGGAGGATTTACTTTTAGCGGGAACAGTCCAAGAAGATACTTTTGATACTCTTATGAGATTTATAAAACATCAAGTTACAGTTATTGTGGATATACAAAAATTGTACCGGCAAATTTTAGTTGACGTATCCCAAAGAGATTTACTTCGGATCTTATGGAAGAGAAACCTTAGAGACTCGCCTGTGACATATAGACTCAAAACGGTGACTTATGGTACTAAAAGTGCTCCATTTTTAGCCAT